ACCGTTCGATTTTTACTTGCTCCTGGAGAATGGGAAAATGATCCTTTTGAGCGACGTAGAATAACAGACCCTATATGGTCGCCTAGCCTCCATAAGATTCAAAAAATTGTTGTTGGAAAGAATCCTCCCATGCCTGTTTTATATTATTTAGATAAATCAGGACCTCAACGTCCCTTTGTGAGAGAACAATTGATACATATTAAGGAGGAGCCTATGCTACCACCTAGATGGTTCCTATCGGAAGGAAGCCGAATGCATGCAGAGCACATTTTATAAAAGTTTCTAAGTCAACGACACAATAGGGTATTGTAATAAGAATTACCCCTTCTCTATAACATAACGCTCTTTTTTTCCAATCATGCCAAATTTGCGCATCTAGATTCATCTGTCCTTGTGGATGAAAAAAAGGCACGATTTGGTAATGTTGATTACCACTATATTCGAAGGCCAAACCTAACTCTTCATTATATCCATCTAGATGTAATCCCTCTAAGAATCTTGGTTTTCTGAGTGGAAATTGTTTATTTAATAAATCTTCAAAAATATATCGGCATGTTCTTTCTGGTACATTGAGGCAAATATTGCACCACCTATAATTTTGCTTCATATTTTTATATGATGCTTCCCATTGATGATTCTTTTTACATGACCATAAATATATATTAGGATTAACTTTGGCCAAACATCTCCCTTCCCGCCTCTGGGCATATGCTAAGGCTTTAGCATCAATTCCATTATAATTTTGCATTTTATTTTTTAATCTTTTTTTTTCGAATATAAATAAGAAAAAAAAAAGGTACTGTCTCATGTCGATGTTCAGAACGAGGCGAAGGGGCAAATTCCTATCAATGCATTCGTGAGCATTGGGAATCCCATAAATTTCAGACGGGTGATCAACTACAGTGAAACCCTTCCCTGCCACCCGAATAATATATTTATCAAAAATTTTCTCAGAATGATAGGCATCTAGAAGAGCGATATCATCTTTACTATTAGACAAATATTGAAAATATGTATGATCATTATAACCAGGCTCATAATCAAGGTCCGCTAAACCAGAGAAGAGTCTTATAGCTTCATTTATTTCACTGGGGTTGGGCCCAGTATTTTTTTGTGCAAGTAGCATGGTAGTATATATAAGAAATTAGTATAAAATAACGAAAAACTTGCAAAGTTTAAAATAAAAAATGTAATATGTATGACTCAAAAACGAAATAAAAAAGTATAAACCATTCTGGCCCCTAGTCACGTTTACGTGATATTTTGAGCATATACGTGCTTGCATAAACTTAATAGATATTATAATCTTAGCATA